GTTACCGATTGTAGTGATATATTCTGTCGACAGATAGCCACAAATTGCATCCCAAACGAAAAAAATCTGTCAACCAGTTGGCTCAAGAGCATATTACACCAACATTTCCAGGAGTCGTAGTAACATGTGCGATTTGCATTACACAACCTAGTCCGCCGATATCATTCCGTAACGAGCGGCTTATAACCCGACACTAGGCATTAGGGTGTCACACTGTTCACCCGTTCATCATATCAATGACCTTCACGAAATCTGGTCACTAGCTTGGCGGTATTCTGAGCTATGTATGACGAAATTCGGAAAAGAGGTTTCCGATACCCAGGAATAACAAACGTCATTACGAACAGAAATTACGCCAGTCAGTTGCTTATAGTTGCTTACTGGCTTTTGGTATGCGTGGCGAAACAACACGGACTGAGCATTGTCGACGCGATACTACAAAGACCGGGGGCTTCCAGGATCAGACGATTTGTTTCACCCCAGAACAAGTTGGTCATACTTTGATGCAAGCGGACCTCTTGGTCAAACAAGACCGGGTTCTATTCCCCGTGAACAAAGATGTTGAACAATCTCCCATCTATGTTTCGTACACAAGTGCTGCTGAGACCCGTGAAATGTCCGTTTATCGAAATGACAAGTTGCTGACTCAGGATTAATTTCAGGTGTGTTTTATGAATCATAGTTGCTTACTGGCTTTTGGTATGCGTGGCGAAACAACACGGACTGAGCATTGTCGACGCGATACTACAAAGACCGGGGGCTTCCAGGATATTTTGAACGTTAATGAAGGTCGACAGTAAGCAGTTTATTGATTACATTTGAACGCGGTCCAAAACGTCACCAACTATCAGGAGCCAGAACCATTTCTCGGTCTCTCACCAGTGTTTGTGAGAAAGAACAGCACGAAGAAGTGAAATATTTGATTTTTTTCGGGGAACTTCACAGTTCTTGGAGCACCAGTGAAACCCTAGATTATTTGAGTGCTTCGACTAGTTTCGATCAGCTTGCTTACTTTATTTATTAAGGAAAGTACTGCTCAAAATACATACTGAAGCAAGATGACTCACATAGTGGAGCGTATGCCGAGAGGAGGTTGCTTACCTCAGCAACTGAAATAAAGGTACAGATTACGGGTAATTAATTATTGTCTGTGAACACAACCCAATTTATGAACGCATTCTGATGCATGTTAACTTTTAGGTAGGTGTACAAAGCCCAGAAATCAAAAGTAAACGCCCGAATCACCGCAAAGAGTCTAAGGCAGATTTGCCTGTTGGGAAGCTCCCCCAGTTTCTAATCAAGTGTTGCAAATATGGTGAACATATACTGAAACATATTTACATACCTGTCAGTCAGTCGGGCCTGGACCACAAGCTTCATCTCGATGACAAATGAAAATATACCTCCCCTACATTCAGTCATATGTGGTGTCCCTGTAACTAAATCTCCACAGACTACTGCTTTCAAAGGTCTAAAATATGATCACGTCTAGCCGAACTCACGCCATATACATTCGCATATACGTACACATATACTTTTCCGCTGTACTCTTGTTATATTGCCTAAAACTTCAAGAATCATTGGCTTAGAAAAATCACAAAACTGGTTTGTTGTGCAGAAGGGTATTCACGGTGAAGTCAACTGTCAAGTAATGTGTCATTTTAGTTAAAAGTGCATCACGCGACTCCTCTAACTGAATGCATCACATCCGTGCTGCTAAGCAAACAGCTGTTCAAGTACTCGATTCGCTTTAAAGTGCCAAAGTAGGCGCCCACCTAAGAAGTATAATTGTTCAGTCTATTAGGATACGTAAGCTAGCAGACTAGTGTTCTACGTGTGGCAAAATGGAGGAACTTACGACGGTGTTGTGCCATCGTGAAAGATTGTGAACAAAACATCACGAATATGAACAGGAATGAACCCATTCGACCACGGGGGTTTCTTGAATGTGCCTATGAAGCTGTTTGTCCTTCGTTTATATTATATTCCCACATACTGAATAGGCTTATCAACAGTGAAAAAGAAACAAGGCGATATTATTGGCTAACGAGAACTGGATGGCCGAATGGTGGGTAATTGGAGACGTTCCTATGAACAGGTGACGATAAATACATATCGATCTGAGTAGGTCGTGTGCAAATACTGGCTATATTTTCAGCCTACAAAATATTTAAGAACTATTAGGTGAGTAGATGAAAACATGCGATGTTGAAACTAGTGGCTCTTTAGAGGCTAGAATGGTTAAATGTGGTGGGGGCCCAGTGAATTGGCCCGGGAATCGGACAGAGATCTACATCACCGTCGACTTCTGGAAGATGCCTGTCTACATAATTATCTTTGTCCGTCAAGACATGGAACGTAGGTGGCCTTCAGGGCTCTTCGTATACCAGCACAATTAAAAGTCTGGAATTTATTCATTCAGCATCTAGTAACCGTTGGCGCTCCACAAGTTCCTAATGACCCGACCGCTCTCCTGTGCGACACTAAGCAAACATGTTAAAAATAAAGCCTAATTTGACCGGTACCACAAAGGGTGCTCAATTAAATTATGAATGATTTAAGGACATCAAAAAGTGAATTAGGCACTTAGGAACCAGTTCAATTCTTATATGAATTACCCACAAATAATTTACAAGTTGGAATGAGATCGGTTTCAAAATAACGCAGTCAAATTTCACGAGGAAGTCGTAAACAAACGACAAGCCTGGACTTAGATATTCGTCAAATTGTGTCGTATGATGTGCCCGTTTCACGCAAAATGCTGGTAAGTCCATTTTATGCTGTGGGTCATTTGATCAAAACCGGTGGGAAACTGACAATACCAACACAGACGTCACGGTGACTTACAGCTAACTATGAAAGGAAGAATGCCCTCGCTGCGAAGTTAGAAAACACCAACTACACAGTTAAAGTATATTGCACAGGGAAGCAATACTCTCATATGCATCTTTTTTATAAAGAAACTGAATATCCATCTTCTTTTTGAACGCGTCTTCCTGAACATTCCTGCCCACTCTTTGACTATCAGTCAAATGTAAACAAATGCTCCAAACCAATTCCACAAATTTAGTAATAAATCACACTTTCTAATAGACACGATTCTGAGTTAAGCGAAAACATGTTACTCGCGTGCCTCATCAGTCATATCCACCGTTACAATCAGGTTATTGTACGTTACATAATGTCAGCGGTGCTCCTTCTCCGATAGTGTTCCTTAGTCACATGAAGAATGAGGGGCGTTATATGGTGTATACATGAAAGTTAATCACGTTGAAGATCGTCCGCCCGTAGCCGAACATTTAGGTGTTCAAAATGCTGAACGGAATGTCACAAAATCGAGGCTCTCCGGAGTTCCGTCTGTTGAGTAATGCTGATGATTCCCAACAAGGACTGGACAGTTCTACAGCGACTGTCGAGTTTTCGGCATAGATCGAATTCACTTACGAGACGAAAACTGCATTGGAGGTGATTCACGTATGAGTACGTCCATATTTTCAAACACATAAAAGGTGGATGTCCGGTGAAAATGTGTAACGCAATAAGTACAGCAGCCAAATTCGGAAGCCGAGATATGGCGTTCCACTGGCTATTAAAAACCAACATACTCCGTGTGCGCTGCAATGATCATCGTTAGGATGTTGACCACTTAGTCCGGGTGTCTGCCCTATCCTTTCTTCTTTAAAGGCAAACTGGTTTTATCCGTGCGCTTTAGGTCATAAAAGTTTCTGTTGGTAGCTGCCTCCCGTAAGTTTTGAAGAATATTTATCCCACTTGAGAATATTCCACTGATTGCGAAAGCAGTTTAAAATACAGGGAGCACTCATTCCTGTGTGACAAAACTTTGTGCATAAGGCGTCTTGAGCAGCTCCCTCTACACATTTAATTGCCGGGAAGTTTGAGAAAATCAAGAACTTATTATATCAAGGGAATGCCGGGATTTTCCAATACTAAACAACCTTTTGATTGGTACAGACCGACAGCTGTGCACAGTTCGACTATTACGTACGGAAATAGTTTAAATTCAGATTGTTTACGCTAGGCCTTTTTACGAGCACATAACTGAGTGACGCTGCTAATATTAGGCCAAGAAGTCACTTGCTGCACTCGAATAAGCGATTCACGGCACACCCTTAACAAACAAACAAAGCAAACAAGTTTGGTTTGCAAATAAGTGTGTTACCCTAATGCTCTCTTTGAATAAAGCTGATGATTAGTCATTCGGGGAAGGATCACATTCATCTCAGAAGACTGACCACCATATGGCCACAAATTGAAGGAAGTACGCAAGTTCCTGCGTTAACTCAAAGGATTGGAACGCCCCTCGCTGGCCCAGTGAATACGTATGATTTGAATATCCAACGGCGTGTTGTGTTGCTGATATTCACCCATGAGGCGTGTCATGCTCTGCACATTCTTTGAATTGTATTTGACAGGAACATCAAATCAGTATGAGTTCAGCCTCACGAATAATGTTGAACAAATTAGCCATAATTTTTACTGCCGTTTGAGTTAAGTTGCTGCTGTAAGAGTGACCTCTTGGCAATTTCGACAGTCGAGTATAAGAATTCTCGCGAAGCGCGTTCCGGGTGATCGCTTTCTTTAAACGCATAGTAGCAATTGCGGTTATGTAGGATGTCAGCTCACAAATTTGAAGATACGATGGCGCTTATGTTGATAGTCGGATTTTCTCGTCTAGACTTGCATGCATTAAGTTGGTTTGGACAAAAACATCCTACATGAATTCTTCCCTCTTTCTATTCTTGAATATGTACACAACCGAACAATTTCTACTTCGGCTCGCACCTAATGACGGCAAGGTGCAACTGTTACCAAGGCAATGAAGTACTTTCCCGGCTATTTCACAAGCCATTTTGACAAAATAAACCGTGTAGTGTGTTGTTTACAACCATGAATGAAAACGTAGGTAGCGAGCAAACATAAAACTTTGGAAGTTTCTCCTGTCAAGTAAGTTCTTCCATCATAGAAGTTTCATTACTAACCGATGTGACGCGATAAGCGCAAAAGCTGTCCCGCGAGGGTAGCTTTGTGTATGTAACAATGGGTAGCTGTTTTAATTTCTAAAACACAGAACATTAAAAAGCAAACGAATGTCAGTCCAGGCGAGATAAATCTATATTAATACACAAACACTACATCCTAGCGAACAGCCACTGACTCATGGACACAAATGATATCAGCTTGACGGTGGGGAGACGTTTACAATGGGGTCCCTGGCCCACTTAAATCACTCAGAGAGGTCCTAGCTGTTCAAAAGGCCTTGCTGGAGATCTGAAAACTTTTCAGCTCAAGTGACTGGTATGCTTATAGTTCGCTTGTGACGGCATACTGGCCAAATTCCTGGCTAACCGAATTCTGTGTGACGATAAAGCCTAATCATTATATGAAGCCATTTTTAAACGGAGTGGCGTTTCTTTTCGGTTGGTTTTTACAAGGTTCAAGTGGACACTACTATAGACATCAGAGGAAGATCCATTCCT